AGTAGGGGGTTTGAGTAATATAATGGTTAGACTTAATAGGATATAGACATCAACAAAGACAAAAAGGACTAGAAGAGGAGGAGAAGAACAAAGAGGTGAAAGAGAAGTAGGAAGATGAGGAAGAAGGCACTTTATTCTTGATTTAACAGTCAGCTGTTGATAAAACTGAAGATACAAGTGGAGGTGTAATGTCAGGAGTAATAGTGGAAGTAGATAATGGTGGTTGTAGTGTTCAGGGTCGATTGTGGGGAAAGTTGTGTGGCTTCTGACTGACCTGGTTTTTTTATTTGTTAAAGATGTTAATGATTGTAGATTCAGTATTGAATCTCACTGAGATGCTGCATGTGGATCTGATAAGGGCCTCTTATAGGCTGTCAGTAGTAGTATTGATCCATTTTTCTCCATCCCTCCACCCCCACACACACACACACACACTCTCTCTTGCAGCATCTCCTTCCTGCCTCCCTCCTCCTTCCTCTTTTCCTTCCTTCCTCTGATCCTCGAGTGGCAGACTGAGCTGTAAAAATCAATGTGGAAAATGTCCTGAAACAGGCAATCTAGAAGCCATCTGGCCCTGCTTGTCCTCAGAGGCCTGCAGCGTGTCTCCCGGGGGACGAGAGACACTGAGGAGAAGCAGAAAAAGAGAGAGAGAGAGGCGCAGGCACGCAATGACACGTTAACTCCATAATGAGTAAATTCACGGTACATATCATGTGGCTGTTACATAATGCCTGGACAAGACTCAAAGATGTTTTAAAATGTGAGAGACAACATATGACAACAACAAAATCATAGATTAAAGAGTTTTTCTTCAAGTGCGCGGAGAGAGCCGCAATGTGACGATAACAGCGCACCACACATTAACAGATATGTTATTTATCGCTGTCAATCATGGCGAACAATCTGCAATCATTTTTTAACAGTTTTCAACTGAAGATTCAGGAAGAAAAAGTTACAGACTGAAAAAAGACATGGAGACAGCATGAAGATATGGCTGTCCATGTCATGCTGTTCTTCAGTGAGCTGGCTTCCCAGTTGGCTATTGTTTCGTTCCAGGTGTGTGTGTGTGTGTGTGTGTGTGTACATACACTCTGCTACCCTCAGGTCTCAACACACACAGGAGATCAGACCGTATGTACTGAAGTTGTCCTTTGGATCAGATCAGATCACGCTTAACACACCTCTCACCTCAAGAAAACCTGACAAGAACATCTTTGGAACCCTTTAAAAAATCAAGACTTTGCTTAGGATTGTCAGAATGGCAGAATACCATCTCAGCCCCTCCAAAATCAGCCCAATTATCTTGTAGTGTGTATCCTGCTTAAGAGACAGATAGGTAGAAGCATACGTTTAATATTTGATACAAATAGTATTAAAACAAATATTATTCAAACCTCCTAAGTAATGCATAATGTGAGACAAGGTAGCTTGTTTACCAAATTCTTTAAAATGAAAGGCTTTGACTGCTTCATTGTTGCTACGGTTACTCATTTAGTGACAGGCGAATCAATGAAGAAGTTTCACCCAAGGTGTCCAATACTTGGGAGTTAATGGACACCCTGCAGCCAATCACAATCAAGTATTCACCCTGATCATTGTGTATACACAGCATAGTGTATAGACGTGGTATACAAGTTCATCATATCTCAACTTTTATCAAACTGACAGTGTTGGAGCACTTTAAACGTGCCTCAGATAAGTTTTGACCTTTTAAGAACACCACCTCCAGCAGTCAGCCGAGCTCTCTGTTACTTACATACTTAAACAAAAGTGCCAGAATACATCGCCCTGAAGGTTTTTAGTCAAGATTAGACTGGTGTTGTCTGAGACGTCGCATTTGAGTTTCAAATTTTGACCTTTAATTGTTGCATCCTCATTAATCCAATTAATGTAGTTTGCAGAGAGAGAGATGGATGTGTGATGGGGTTTGTGTCAGTCACGCTAATGGTATCAGAGGTTGAGGTAAGTTTCAGACAATGAGGTTATCGCATGGATGTTTTATCACAGCCTGGATACAGGTATGCTTCTCGGCCTTGCTTTGAAGTTGGCCATTCACGGTGTTATGGCATAAAATATCCCTGCAGCTTGAAAAGTATTTCCCCCCCATAGACCCCAGTAATAAGAATCATTTGTAAGTGCTGACAGTAAACCTAAACCTCCAGACAACTTCAATAAAGATGCTTCTTTCCATTCTTTTATTCATTGAGGTTTTCTATTTGAAAAAACGTTCTTTAATCTGAGAGAAAATTGGAAAATCTGCGACATCATCACATTGAAGTGATGGGTGGCAGTAGTTCAGTCCATTGAGACTTGGGTTGGCATCTGGAGAGTTGCCAGTTTACTTCCTGAGTACTGCTGAGATGTCCTTGAGCAAGGCACCAAAACCCAAACCGCTCAGTGGTGCCCCTGTTTGGAGCCCACACGGTCTGACATCTTTCCATAGATGCATATTCAAAGACTTTGCTTGTGCATGTACGTACTCCAGGCTTATGTGTGTGAGTAGCATGTCTCTCAATAGCCCGATTCAGACTCTTGTTTCAAGGTGTGTTATTTAAGTCGCTGTTACGTCTCGCCTTTAATGCGCAAAGGGAGGACGAAGTGATACCCCCTCCATACCCCCTTTCGGAGGTAGTAACAGAGGCATTGCAGGGCCCGAGATGGTATCAGCGGAACCGGAGGAGCACAGCGCTGTGTGTTTGTGCATGTCTGACTGTGTGTGTATGTGGAGCTCCTGCTGTGCCGTGCTTCCACAATGACGAAACGCAGTGTGAATTGATGACAGCTGAGCTTATTTACAGCACTTTAGCTGAAACGCAGTCTGAAAAAAGGACTACAGGTCATAGGTTAAATGGTTTTGTCCATGGGTCAAGAGGGAAAAATATCACTTTTCATATTCAGCAAGGACAAAACCTTAGAAATGAATCCAGAATCTTGAATTTATTTTGGGGCAAAGAACGGGAAAGAAAAGGATGAACGATGTGAATACAGCCAAAGAAGGATATGAAGAAGGTGAAGACCTGTCTGTGACCGAAAGTATCTCTCATTGCTGATTCAAAAATCATCGTCAGTCATTTGAGAGTCTAATTTAAGTGATTTCTACAATATGTTCCTTTAAAATGTATTTAATTCACAGGCTTTATAAACGGTCATTACTCTCTGTCCAGCTGTCTGTCCCCCTGTTAGCCATGTTAGTAAAATCAACTAAACTTAGACCTATAATGTAATGCATCACTGACAAAAACAGTCTGTGCAGAAACATCTAAACTAATATATTTAGTTCTAAGAATCCCCTAAAAACTCTTATTCATTTAATTTGTTATTAAAGCCCATTTTAATACAATAACAGTATTTCTATTTGTCAAAATAAGTGCTCATTGTCTGCACTTTAATAATTATTGTTAATATACCCTAAAAGTTCAGTTTTTAGCACATGATAACTCTGAAGTGTCACTGTTTGAGTTCTTGTCTGTTTTAATGCTAGTTTGCTAAACCCCTGGATCTAAAGAGGTCATACATTAAGTGGTGTAATGCACAAAAGAGGAATTCATGTTTCAGCAGCTTCTGATGCCACTTCACCTGTAGAGTGTTGGATACTCATTAAGGAAGTGACCCGTATCATATAAGATAGTCAAACATCTGGAGCATCATCACCCAGATGTGTCTGTAACGGCGCTGGCAGGAAACAGCAGTCGGACAGTTGAACCTGTCCTGTTTGAACACAAGCTGCAGTCACGCAACAACTGAAGGATGGAGCTTCACAGAAACTTTACTGAGAATTTACACTGAAAGGGTAGAGGTATTAATACTGAAGAAGCTTTTCTGACATACTGACACAATTTTCCTTCTCATTACCCACATGACTGTTTCCTTTTTTTAAACAGGATTTATGACAAATGAGCCAACAGTTCAACATGTTTTAAAGAAAAGACAAAAATGCCACCTTCTGTAAGTGTCCGTGCTGTACCTCAAATGTGTGTTTAACTGTCAAATTCATAATTCAAAATGAATACATTTCTTTAAATTCAAGAATTGTGAAGGTCCCTGTTACAAAAGTATTTGTAATTTCTCATTTCCAAATTTGGAGCACGCATAGTTTTTTTATTTTTTTTATCTTGCATGATTATTTTGCACTTAGATCTCAAACTTTATTAATTAAATTATTTCAAAAGTTCTCTCTGATCACTGCAGTGTTGGAAAGAAAGTAATTGCATGTGTGCCCACCAAGATGTTTGATGAATTTTATTCCGTATTGAAGTATTTTAGCAGGTTTTAGGGCTCATTTTGCAAAGGGAAGATCAACATTTATAAACAGTAACAGTTGTTGTCAGATTAGTGACACTTTTTTCCTGGTGTGTGTTTTTATTTAACATTTTGCAACAACAAAAAAAAATGCTAATGCAATTGGATTTACTCCAGAAATGAACAAAAGGGGGATAAAGTGTTGTAAAGTGAACAGGTGGGAGGATCGTGCTGAGCTCTGCTCTCCTCTCCCTCCCTGCTCTCTGCAGATTCACCACATGGAAACCACATGGCGGAGTCTCTGCGGTGAAGCTGTAAAACCTCAGAAAAAACAACAGGCATCTTATCTCCAACACCACTGCTGTTTCTTCTCACTCTCTGTTGATTCTTTGAGTACATTTATTCAAATATTTCATCTTTTTGTGGCTGTCTCCTCGTGTTAGCAGAAGAAGACGCGTTCCGTTTCTCTCCTCTCCGCTTGTGCCGCTTGTAATGACTGAGAGAGGAATGCTGCTGCTTTTATATAGGCCTCTAAAAATAACTCACCCCTCACTGCCATCTACAGACGGACTGACAGCCTGCTGCAGCCAATAGCAGCTCAGTATCCCCGAGAACTCCGCCCCCTCCTCCAGTCTCAGCGCCTCCTTAATTGGACGCCAGTGACATCATCAACCCTATTTACCTTATTAGGTCACGCATGAAAGTGACTGACAGCTGGCTCCTCCCCTCGCTCCCTCCCCTCGCGCGCCGGTCGCCTGGATTGCAGCGGGGTCCAGTCTGCTGCTGCAAGCGGAGCAAACCTGGCAACCTGGCAGCATTTACGGGAGACCGATTGGCAATCTGGCAATGCGGAAATAGATCTGGCACCCCCGATCCAGGACTGAGTAGAGAGGCGTGACATAGCGAGCAGAGAAGAGAGGGGATTGCATTGACAAAGATATAATAATCAACTCTTTTCTTCCTGTTTTTCCTTTTTTTAAATAAAAGTGCTCAGGTGCGCTCCATCTGCACCGGCTGGGATTTTCCAGCGTTTGTTTCTTTTAATTTGACAAGTCTGAGAAGAGGGGGAAAGGAGAAGTGCGTTTTTATTGCGCGGAAACCGGACTTCTTTACTGACTTTTCCTTTTTTGCATCAAGCATGGATCTGTTGGCGAATTACAGTATTTTCCAGGAACTTCAACTCGTTCATGACACTGGTTATTTCTCTGCGATGCCTTCCCTGGAGGAGAACTGGCAGCAGGTTAGAGATGCGTTTTATTATCTTTTCCGGGAAACTAAAGGGGTTTAGAAACTGGGATGAAATGTCACATGTGCGCTGGTTGGTGGTTTCTGAGTGTGTTTTTTACTGTTTTGCATCAGTAGAGCGCTCCAGAGCGGCAGCAGCAGCCCCGTGTAGTTGCGTCTTTTTTTTTTTTTTTTTCCTCGCTCACATGGAGCACGGCGAGGTCCGCTGACAGGAGAAAACATATACACACACACACACACTCATAGAGGGGGAGTGGGTGAGAAGGGGGAGGCGAGGGGGAGAGGATAGGCTACAGACAGAGCTTTACGCACCGATGGATGGACTGCGTTTAAAAAAAAAGCGTAAAATCCACGCACCATCTCGCTTTACGCGTCGAATCCCTTAACTGTGGACTGCCTGAAACATCGAGGGTTAATGCAACCCCTGCACATATGATCGAGCAGGAGCACGTTGTCTTGTGAAATCATGGTCAGATTGTTTCAAAAATACTTTACATGCCACACACAAACAGGGGATCCAGATGAAAATGCTGCTCCTTAAAAAGTCTCTTATTTCCTCAGTTTGGTCCAAATTCACCAAATTCAGCTGTTTTATCACTTAAGCCAAACAATTCCCCCTTATCATTGGTAATTATAAATAACGTCGGATTTCAGTCTGAAAATTCTATTTTTCTTTGAGAAAAGATTTAGGGAATCCGATGAGGACTGAACATTAACTGATCTTGCCCCTTTAAGTCAATTATCTGCTGCATTTGTACCATGATGGGAAGACTAAAAGTTTAAGGGGGTTTCTAAGTAAAATAAAATGTGTTTCCTTATCTTTCTTTCAATGTCTGGAGTCTCTGTGTCCTGTTATATTTATATGAAGGGGACTTATTGCTATATTTCATAGTGAGTGAGAGCAGATTGAAGGTGAAAGTGGAGTGATTTTGTTTTGCAGTCTGAGCTAATGCTGGAGGAGAGAGGGCTGTTTTTAGAGTGACGGGTCTGATCGATAGACCAGTCTGTCAGAGTGATATGTTTGGATTATCGCACACACGCACACACGCACACACACACACACACACAACACACAACACACAACACACACAACACGCACACACAGACACACAGATGCCACAGAAGATGGACACATGCCTAACAGCTAGTGACTCGTTCTTAAATAATATATCCGCATCTGCCACTGTTTGTTTGCAGATAATCCTGTTGAATAATACATTTTTAGCCACTATAGAATATTTACCAGACTCTGTGTGTGGGTTATTACCTTTTCCTGTCATGTAAAATCCTGACTGTATTAATATGTAAGGAGGAAAGCAGAGTTATGGTTATTATTTGTATTCCACAGGCAAATAAATGATCAGTGTGTGGTCTGTCAGGAGGAGAATCGTGGAAAATATCTTTTTTCGCAAATCTGAAAAGGTATTTTAGACACTCAAATGATCTCGACATCATTTTTTGGACTATTATAAGCAGAAAAAAAAACAATATATGGGATGTTAGAAATATCTTCCCTCAAGTTTACCCTCTTGAACTTAAGAAATGAAAGCTGTTAAGTGATAGCCATCTTGAGCCCTGTAGTAGAGTTTGTGCTGCCACGTATTTAATTTTCTTTCAAGCCAAGTCTCCCAAAAGGTCCCTGTATGGTGAAAAAAATCTGCTCCCATCATGGTATTTGGTGAGTCAAATGTGTGTTTTTAAAGGGCCTGGACCACGTGTATGTATATACAAATAGTCTTGAATGAAGCCCAGCCGTCATCCCTCCTCTCTGTCTTACTGACACAAATTCTCACTGCCTCATCCTATTTTTAGTCCAAACAGCTCGTAGTTTCATCCCCTGTAACCTATTTTTTCTGTCTGTAAGCATATTGTTAATTGATTGAGAGGTTTTTTAGAGTTTCGGGTTTTGATGTCATGTCTCATTTTATGGAGAATGGCTGGAAAAGCTGTTTAAATTGTTGCCTAGAGACAGAAACGCAATCCTTGGAAAAAGCAATTCTACTCAGTTTATCCACACTTATATTTGCAGAAAAACGATTTTGTTTTACATATTTCAGCCTCGTACAAACACTGCGTTTCAAATTCAACATCAATACCTGTGGGATGCTAAAGTTTTGGTATCGTTAAACCAGAAGTGAATGCAGCACCTGTTTTCCTGAGTTTAAACTGGCACGTGGGAAGTCTCAGATTGTTGATTTGGACCCTCATTGGCAACAAATAGTGTGCAACTTGAGGTAATGGAGACAAGTACAAGCTGTCTTTTTGAAAGGTTAGTCCGATATTTCAGCGTCTGCATCAAATACAGACTGTTCCAAGATCCGTTTAGCCTAGCTTAGCACAAACATTTAAAACAGAGAAAACTGTTTGCCAAACGGCTTTAAAAAGGGACAATACACCAACTTTAAAGCCTTCTTATGTCCGCACAAAATTTAAAGCTCCTTCAACATTGACTGGTGGTGGAAAAAACCCAGATGAAATTATTTACAACTCTGAAGCCTTAGTCTATTTTAGCTTGATGTTTTTGGTTTTACAGGGGCAGTAATTAAATCTTTCGGTCTCTGTGTAGGCTATCAAAAAGCAGAAGGCAGCATTTTTTTTTTTTTTTTTTTTTTTTTAGCATTTCACTCTGAACTCCCACCGGCCATGCACCGAGCAGCAGACAGCTGGCAAAGAAAGTGGAACAAGCAGCAGCTAAAGAGATATATTTTTATAAGCACTTGTGGGAGCCCTTAACAGAAGAAGTTAGAGAGTGAACTTGGTATGGTGTGTAGGCTTAGACAGATTCAGTCAAATTCAGTAGCTTAGCCATCATTATTTATACAGTAAAGATATTATTCTCTTGCTGCTTCAATTGAACTTGCTTTGGCTTAGTCACCCAAAAAAAAAGGATCTGCATTCTTCTTAGACGTCTGGTTTAATGAGCAAATAGCTAAACTGAAAGTAAACAACCCCCAGGTTTATTGGTGACTATTTTGTGCTCAGTAGCTAGCTAAAGATGCAACACGTTAAGACATAATTCAAGCTCATGGGGGACTAATTTCCCCCTGTTTTTTAAGCTATAGCAGTTTACCTCTAATTAAAGTGTTTGTGTTTAATTAGGCTAACAACATCTTGGACCTGAATCGAAGCTGATATGTGATTCTGCCTCGGTCACTGCTTTGAGCATGTGTCCTTTTATGGTTTTGAGTTTTTATTTTCTCCAAAGATAGATATTGGGAAGATGCTGGCTCAGTTTTTCAGAGTGGAAAGTTCTTGTTTTATTGTGTATGGAAGAACGTAGAGAGGAAAAGATGAGTTTTCTCAAATGTATCTTCACCAGTGAGGACACACTGTCACACTATTAGCTTACATGCTATTAAAAGCAGTTGCTGGACGTCTGAGCTTAGATGGCAACCATTTATGTGGGCATAGTTTTGAAGTTGCATGTCTTACTTATTCATTTGTAATTCCTCTGCCCTATAGACTACAAGAAAATCTATGATTTCCATTTATAACTTGGGTTTAATGAGCTATCAGTAATGAAATCTCCAGGTGCAGTGGTGGATGTTTTCTACTAGCTAGCTATCAAAAGATCCAGAAAGTTAAGACACCGTTAATGCGGTAGACTAGTTTCTTAAGTTGTCGAGGGTTTGTGCTAGGCTAGGCTAGGCTAACAACATCTCGGACCTGAAGTGAAGCTGGGATGAACTGAGAAAATAAGCTGATATGCATTTTCTGATTGATTTGAATAGTGCTGTGAGGATGTATTCCATCATGTATTTAGTTAAAAAAATACGTCCATTTCATTCATTCAAAGTAGCCCACTGTGTGAGTTTCATAGTCTACAAAGAGAGCTTTTCAGATTGTATCGTGCAGGCTTATTGTGTATGGAAAGCAACAACAGAGAGGACAGAGGAGTTTTCTCAAATTGATCTGCACCAGTGGGGACACACACTAAAAAAGAGAGACAAACACACTCACTGACACAGTGCGAACAGGCGCACCCACATTTTTTCCACTCTTGTTCCCTCACTCTCCCTCCATCCCCTCATTCACTCCATCACACACACACACACACACACACACACACACACACACACACACACACACACACACACACACACACACACACACACACACACACATGCTCGGCTGGCATGCACTAATGGAAAGCTATGGTCTGGCAGGACTCATCCCGCCACTTTCGACAGTAATTGGCCGTTTGCTGTCAGACTGACCGAGCAACACACACACACACACACACACGTACAAACACACACACACACAAACACATACACACACAAACAAACAAACAACATGATTTGTGTGTGACATTTGTCTTTCGTGTCTGTCGCTGGATCATGCTCCATGGTCTTTGTTTCCTCCTGCAGACTTCTTTTATCAGCTGCTTTGCATCATGGCTAAACATGTGGAAAACACACACACACACACACACACACACACACACTCTCTCGCTCTGCTGTCTATCAGCCTTGTTGCCTCTGACAGCACTAACCCATGTTCTGCATATAATTGCTGCATCCATGCAGGTTGAGGATGATGTGACGGGCTTTAGGGATTTGTGTGTGTTTGTGTGGAGTGTCCAAGGATAAAATGGCGAACCCAGACTTCCCAATTAGATTAAATCCATTTATTTCCAAGCGGCGCCACGCCAAAGTCAGTTGAGTTAGTGTGGAAAACAGACACAATGAAAGCTGAGGCTACGTGGAGGTGAAAACTGATGCAGAGGTTGGTTGTTTTTGTGCAAAGATCTCGGTTTTAATACTCAGATGCTGCATGCAGGTATCCAGCCTATATCCTTGCTTTACACAGTCTGCTTCTCTCACCATCTCTCTCTCTCATCTTGTCTCTTAATTTGTGTGCTCGGTGTGTCTGTAGATCTTCTCAAGCTGATTGATTTATTTGCTGCGGGGGTCGTTACAGCACGATGCTTCGAACCAGCTCCGTGTTACTGATACACACAGTCTCCATTATGCCCTGCAAGCCTGCATCTCT